AAAGAATCTGACAAACAAGGCTACGTCTGTTTTTGTTGTTTTGCATTTGTTGCATGGTCCCGTGCCCGGCCTGTTTGTAAGAGCATTTGTGTCCAAGTGATTTGCGTAATTCACAGCCAAGCTCCAGTACAGCAAGCCAAAGATGGTTTCCTCTGACAAGGTTCTTTCCTTAGTACACTCTTCTTAATTTCAGTTAGAAAAAAGTAGAACTTGATAGAATTTATTAAGGGAAGAACTGCGCTTGATTGCTTACTGACGTTTAAAGAGAAACGTCTAAATTGAAATAGAATAATCATATTTGCTAATAAATTAAAAGATTTATGATTGTAGCGTTTCCCTCTTCAATGCTGTTTATTTTTAGCTAGAGAAAAAATAGAACCTGATAACTATATTAAGTAGAACTATTGAAAACGGTTTGGACACGTTCTTTGTGGATTTTACCTGTTCTTACCCCTGTTAATATCCTACAGGGGTGAATCCACAACAGTTGCATCCAAAGCGCTTTCTAGACGAATTCAGAGGTCCCAAAAATGTTGAGTAAGTTGTGAATAAATGTGTACTGTTTTGCAAAGGCAAGGAAATCCTGTGCAACGGGATCAATCATTGTTTAATTCAAAGGAAAAGATATCTAGTCACTTCTGTTTCAATTGCGTAGAATATAATAAACATGTTAAGTAGAAGTCATAAACAAAGAATTCAGAGGTCCTAAGATCGTGCCTTTTTTTTACTGGCCCAAGCACTGCCATGATCAGGCAACACCTTGAAACACCGTGATGTGTAGCGCTTTGAATACTCAATGCGCATCTTCACCGATGGCCGTTTGAATAGGATTTGAGTGGGACTCAAATAAAAAAATACTTGATCAGAATCCTACTGGAACATATATCTTTAACCTATAACTTAGATAAGGAATTGTTTCCCAATAGAACTTTACAATTATAGTAGAGTTGAAGCAGAATTTGATAAGGGAATCATGCAATCATAATGTCTATGTTATGTTAGAATTTAGGTACTTCATCCTATTGAAAATTAGAATTTACAAAGTATTGTATCTCCAATCGAATGTCTTTTTCCGATCAGTTGGCATGTAAACACAAATGATTCCAGCGTAGGTCAACTCAATAATCCACTCAAAACGTTGCAAAAAAAAAACACGCCCACAGTGTCCTCGCTCTCTTTCTTAATATGTAAGCCTATGTAAGCAATACTTGAGAAGGCTTGAAATGTACGAAGAAGCGCACTCCCACACAGCGTCCTGCTCTCTTTATGGCTGGGATTGCCCCTTACCCTCCAATTAATCGGGCTTTCATTGTGACTCACCTCTTGACAACAAAAAAAGCAAGGACAGGGAGATCCTTGGCAACCGGGCAGCAAGCCCAATCCGAGGAATTGAAAACTCGTCAAGCATCACTGCATCAGGGCGAACAATGCTGGAGCCTGCTTGGCTTTGCCAAGATTTCATCCCTTTTGAGCTTGCCAAAACACCAATGCACCTCTTGTCTTCGTTCTCATGCACCAATTGCATACCCGGCACTCCATCACCTCTGTGGATGTTTCCGAAGGACTCGTGTGGTCCCTGAGGCGCGAACCGGATTCAACTGCATAAAATCCAAGTATGAGAGACCCTAAGCAAGCCAAGCCCATTGGACGCTGTCTCAAAACAGTGAGTTCTCTTCCACGCCCGGATACTTTATCTATGTCATTGTTTTGGCTCATATTCGTCTATGGCGTTTGCCGACCCGAATCTGACATTGCCAGATTTTGGATATTGAGTAAGAAGCAAAATACAGAAGGATGTTCAAAGGGGTGCCCGAACTGGCCCTTTTCATTTGCGCCAGTCTGTCCGTCTGCCTGAATCCAAAACAAATATAGGAACATACTTGACCCATTTTGGTGGTCCTTCCTCCATCGTTTCCCTGTCTGTGATGTTGAGCCATCACTTTGTCGCTAAGGGACCTTTCGTGGTATCGGGTCCCCAACCATGCCCTTCGTTGAGGCCCCGAGGCTTGTTCGCAGGCGCTTCCTGGCAAAATCCAGGCATGGATATCTGGATCTTAATTGACGATTCTTGGCCCACCAAAACGATTCTTCACCCGCACCAAACACATGTGTTCAGATTATACTTGTATTTCCATACAACACCGAATCATATCGGAGGAGACATGAGGATTCATCTTGAGTGCGCTGCAAGCGGTATTTCAGGCTCGGCACTTCGAAGCATCTGCCTTTGACGTCAAGCTTGTGTTCCTGAGAGCAAGATCTGCAAGATCAACATCTCTCATTTGCTAGAAAAGGACAGATTGTGAGAAGGCCTATGAAGAGGCTTCAAATCAACATTGCAATCCCAGGACGTGCTGCATCGTGCAAACTTGCCTGTCACCCCCCCCCCCGGCTTCTGGAGATCCAACTTGTCCAAAGTGTCCGGAAAGGGGCAAGGGGGTTGATCCATCTGATTGATTGAACTCACTTCAGCTACTCACTTCAGCTTTTGCAACATGGAACTATTCAATTCTGGTCCATATTCATCAAATCAAACCTTGCGACTTGCGATGTCAAAACGTGGCCCACATATGGGGCACACAAACAATAAATAAGTTCTCCGATTCCGTCGCAGACTTGGTCGACCCTTATAGAATTGTTATGGAAAAAAGGGAGCAGCGCAGCTTCGGCCAATGCCCAAATTGGTCTGTTCATCACCAAGTCTGTCTGCTGCCCGGGCTGCGACGATGGCAAAGGCCACTCCGGAAACCTTCTTTGCGGAGGGCTCGGTTCCTGAGACGCCAAAAGAACCCCATCTTGCGTGTTTGTCATACATACAGTAGGTCCTGAGAATTCACACTGGCTTTGCTGGTGAGTAAAACAGGTTGGAGGGTCGTCGCCGAATTCCCGTACGTTGCCGTTCAGCGGATCCTTTTTGGGATGGTGTAAGAAGGCACCAACCACCTGAAGAGATTGTCCAGCTGTGCAGCGTTCCCATGTTCCTCTTTCAACCTTGTCCAACAAAAGGTGATAAAGTCCATTATCCCAAAACAAGAATCCGCGAGGAAACCTTCTACGGATCTGTGAATTGTTCATGTGCAGATGTCACAAGCCAACATCTTGGGCAATGCTGAGGTCAACTAAATGTTGCTTTGAGTGCTGAAGTTTGCTAAGAGCAAAGCGGTTGTGGCACTCACACACATATGGTTGGCAGTGTGTGTGTTGATCAACATACACACAACCCACAACCGATCAACGTGCTCTTCCTGTAAGAAATCATCAAGCGCCGGTCAAGTTCACAGTGAGCGACCCACAGAGGAACTGGCAAGAACTCTAACTTCTGATATATAAGGTTCATGCGTGCGGTTGTTGCCCAGCTACCAGCTGTTTACATTTGCCAACATGTGCTATAGATCTGGATTGAATCATTGGGTGGCCTTGTGTTAAAATTCAGGACTGGCCGGCGGGGGGGGGGATTCAGAGTGAAAACGAGATTGAACCAACTGGTGTCTAGATTTACACACACACAAAGGAAAACCATTTGCGCGACGCACACACCCATGCAAACAAACGCTAGTATCGCAGAACTCCAATATGATTCCCTTTCTGTTGAGGCTTGAGGAGCACTGGGGCAACATGCCTCAACATGGATACGCATGCACAAATATACACATAAATCCAAGGCTTTGATTCTGTGTTCAATACCTTGGGTTGCATGTAAATACGTTAGCCCTCCGAATCATAGTTCGTTCATGTTGGTCCTCATACCCAAAAGAAGGGTGTGCCTTTAGCAACGCTACCCGATGTTGCGTTGCAAGGGGGGGAACAATCTGGAAACCACCCATTCCAGGAGGATGCTCCCCCCGCCCCTCCAATGGGGGACAAGCCCAAATGTCTAGCGCCGAGCAGCAGTCTTCACCAATGCCAAGGAAGCTGGCCCTTGCTCCGGAACGTTCTTCTCGAGGCTATAACCGAATCGCAGCCCAAACGACTTATACCTCAGCAACCCAGATGCTTCGACACCTGGTTACCAGACGAACATACGGAGCACCAAGGGAACAAACATCACAACGAATTAGGTGACAAATCATCTTGGTGGCAAACTCCCTGCCTCGCGTGTCCAGGTATCTAGTCTTGGCAAAAAAGGAACATGGAGCCACAAGAATCTGCAAACCCCTTTGCCGGAAGACTTTTGACCTGACTAACCCTCCACATCAATCAACCTGGTTGACGTTTCACCTTTAAAACTATGGTGGGTGCGCTTCACGTAGGGCCTCTAGGACCGAACGTCGCGCTGGCACGTTCTCTCGCACTCCCGCTGCTGCCACGGTGCTGCGCCAGCCTTGGCTTGAGATGACAGACTCGCATCGCTTCACGTCAAACGAGAAACAAACTACAAACACAACAAGAAGGGCCCACTACGTGCTAAAACACATGAACGCCCATTTGTTGGGCCCAGAGGGCAGATTCCTTCTACAAATGAGTGATTCTGGTGAAACCTCTGATAATTAGGGAATTGCTGCTGGGGGGGCGGGGAGTCTTCCATTAAGCCAAAGCAATAGGACACCTTGTGAGAAATGTGTTATGCCAAACTGTGGCTGTTGGTCCAAGAAAGCTGTCTGAGGCTTTTGAGTGTTGAGTTCTCCTGTCGTATTGAAAAATGTTCTACTTGTACAGTCAAAAAGAGGTTGGCATAAGTTAAACCAACCAGCATGTTGATGAGGACGTCTTTTCCGATTTTGTCATGCAAAACAGGCGTTGAGGTGGCCTGGGCATGGCAGAATTCGTGACCGTGGATGTGTGTGTGTGTGTGCGCGCGTGCGTGCGTGTGTTCGCCTTGGTGTTCAGCGATCTTCCTTCAACAGCAATCAACGGGCACTCTCAAGTAAATTACAAAGGCAGTGAGTCAGCGGTGGCTGAATCGGCGGTGGCTAATAATCATCTCGCGCAGGGCTTGCTCTCTTGTCGTGTTCGTACACAATAGGGCCAACAAATACAAGCAAAGTGGAGTGACAACCCGCTGAGTCCGCCGCACTGCCTCCCTTCTCGCTTTCAAAAAGTCGCCAGCATTCATCGTGACCGTATCATCCTTCAGGGAAGGCTGCTGATGGAACACAACTGAAAATAAGACTTTCACATCAGGGGTCCTGGCTTTTCCCTGCGCCCATTCGTATTAAGGGCCTCCCAGAGTTTCCCTCAGCGTGAGGCAGAGCCAGCAGGTAGCTCCCGAGCGGTGTGAGGGTTGTGGAACTTAAGTCACACTCCTCCTCAAATCAACATGAGCATGTGTAGTTGCAAAGGACCCTTTTGCAAAAGCAATTACTCGTCCCATTTAGTAAAGGCAGCTTGGGGATGTTTCAGGTCCTTCGATCCACTAAGCGTCCCTTGGGTTTCCAAAGGTGTGTTTCCTTTCAAAGCATCACGCTACCAAAAACTCGAAACTCCGGCTCGCTCGCTGCTCGTTTAACACTCGTGGCACAAAGTCAGCATGAGATAGCTCCCGGACTTCCAAAGCTAGAATGCACGCAAAGTTCTAAACATGGTCGATGCGCGCGGCCCTTCGCCTTACGACTTTGTCGCAAGCGCAGCAGAGACTTTGGCGCGATGCTGAGCGGGTGCGCTTGAGCTGGTGTGCATATCATTTGGCCGGCGCCGAGTGCAGTGAACCCGGTTGGCATAAAGCCACTCACAAGTTTAAGTGACAAGTGACAAGCTAAGGTTCAACACCGCCCCTAAGCATGCAAAAGAGCGATACCCACTCAAAGGATATACTTTCCCACTATCACTTTCGTACGGGTAAATCCGCTCCAGGGCAAGTGAGAAAGTCTATTGCTTCGTCTGGAAAGTGAAACTGTAAGTGAAACTTTGCGGCTTCCCCCAGGGGACATCTAACATTGACCCGCTTGGAGCCCTAAAACCCGATCGCGTCCGGAGCCATCTTCCGAAGCCCCGGCCTTTGGCTCCACAGCCCCAAGCTCAATGGCCACCAATGTCAAGTTGTCGAGTGAGCTGCTGCATAGCTGCAGCAAAGCCTCCGGGGGAAGGGCCCCGCCTGGTTCAACATGTTTACATCTTCGACCTTGCCCTGCGCCAACAAAACGAAAACAGGTGGTTCGCCAGCCCCGTTTCCACCGTCAGATCAACATGTTTACATCTTCGACCTTGCTCTGCGCCGACAAAACAAAAACAGGTGGTTCGCCAGCCCTGTTTCCACCGTCAGATCAACATGTTTAGATCTTCGACCTTGCCCAACCAATTAGGTGGATGCTGGAGAACCAGATCACGCGACACTGAATGTAACTTTCCCAAACAAGGGAGCTGTCAGCGAGTGGGGCAGGCTCCCTTCAGCTTGAATCAAATACACCATAAACCAGCTACAAATGGTTCTGTCCGTTTTCCACCCAGCTGAGTTTCCAACAACAAAACACAAGGATTCTGGCCAATACCTCCGCCATTTTTCGGTGGCTAGTTTCTTGGATCAAACCTGCTTGGCAGCGTCACGAGCTGTCCCACATAGCGCAGGCGAGGGGAAAACTCCCTGTTAAATTACAACCTGAAACTACAATGTTCGTTCCTTCAATTAAATGACACCATACCTGGATTCCTGTTGAAAAATGCTCAGATTGAAACTGTGCTGGTTTGATCGATGTGTCCCGGTCGTGAAAATTGGCTCAAGTCGGTCCTCCACCACCTGGCCCAGGTCTTTCCCCTTCGTGGCTCTGCGGCAGACCCTGTCGACCACCTGCCAGCGCAGGTGGTCAAAATGAGTCGGAGACCCTGGACAACCCCAAAGGCGAGCCTATGCCCTAGTTCGACCAAAACAAGTGAAGAAAACTCCCGACACATCTCAAACCAAAAATACGACCCTGGAATGTATGTTTTGTGGACTGATAGGGGTTGTTCCCTCTAAAATGAGACCCACAACCAGGCTCTTTTTCCAAGGTTCCCCGTCACCCCTCTAGCAAAAATTGCGCTTAACTTTGACCGCCTGCTCGTTGGAAGCCGCGTCCCAGATCCCGTCACAGGCAAGAATCAACCAGTCCCCCCGCGTGGCATGCCACTTGTAGACGTCTGGTATGCAGGAGACCTTTTGCTCCTGTCGAGGCCAACACTCACCACTCGGCTGCTGTCGCTCCCCTTACTAGGGCTCCACGGCGAGATGAAATGAGGCATGAATTGAATGGATATCCAGCCAACATCAAAAAAGCCAGCTCGATACGCTAGCCCAAGCGTCCTCCGGCCAAAGTGCCTCCTGCTTCAGCTCGAAGGACCCAAGCGCGCGGCTGCATGATAGGACGCCATCCACTCGCGGTGGGTTGTCTGGGTCCTCCTGTTGAAACCAAGAAACATGAACACATGCAAGCCAAGTCAAGCACGGCAAAGAACCTCCAAGCAAGCCCACCAGCCAGGCAGAAAGCAAGCAAGCAACGTCAAGCAACGCAAGGCCAAGCAACGCAAGGCCAACCAACGCAAGGCCAAAAAAACGAGGCCGAGCAAGCAATCAAACAAAAAAGTTGCTCGCTTGCTGGGCCTTGCAAGCGAGGCCAAACGAGCAAGCAAGGCCAAACAGGCAATCAAGGAAGGCCAGGGCAAGGCAAGGCCGAGCAAACAAGACAGCTGGAAGGCAAACAAAGCATCCCTTGATTTGTTTTACAAGATCAAACCAACGCACACTGGGGTTGAAACAACGGTTTTCCAAGCTTAAACTTAAATAAACACTCCGTCTAAATGGTGTCAATCACTATATCACAAGCAGCATGAGCAAGACTAGTGAATAACACTGTGCAATTCAGCGATTTGCATGCGTCACACGCAGGAGGGGATCTTTCACTTTTCGCAGGTCCCATGGTGGATGAGGAGAGGTTGCTGGGCGATCAACTGGATTGCCCTGCCTGACATGTTTCAACATCCTGCACCTTGATTCCTTGATTGGGGATCACATCAGTTCACAGCGCATGTGTGAGAAGGTTCGGGTGCACCTTCTGGCTTCGCATGGAAGCAGTTGGCTGGCTGGTTGCTTGATTCCTCCTTCTTTGGCCAGTCGCCTCTCCCCCTCCGACTCTTCTATCAGGGTCCTTGGTGACTTCCCCACCAGCGGCTTCGATTCTCCGACGCTCGTCCGCGTCGCTGGGCCGATGGTCTCTTGTTGATAGAAGCGTGTTGCTTTCCTGCGCGGCGTAGCGATGTGAGGGACATCGGGGGGTTTATACCCTGGCCACATTACATCAGGGGTATTAAGGATGCGGTTGTTTGGTATACATTTGCAAGGCCCATGGATCCAGACATGCATAACACGAAATGGATCAATGGGAGGCAAGCAGAGAACAGGAAACATGGGTGTTGAGGATTCCCTCAAATCAGCAAAGTTCGCTCACCAGCCTTGGCCTTAAACGATGAGTTGCGCCTTGTAAGCCCCCGCTTAAGAGAGCAAACAACCAAACTCCCTGAAAGAAGGTTCTTAAGTCAGCCTTTTTTCCCCTGATCAGGGCTGAAAAGTCATTCCTTCCAGCTCCCCATGCCCAAGCGCCTTCTGCCATAAGACAGCGCGACAATCTCCACAACTTCCCACTAAGAGCTCGAGAGCGTCCTGTAGCAGGTGCCAAGCCACCCACAATCCAGAATATGCCTTTGTTTACTAGCAACATGGGGAGCCGCTGTAGTGTCGACAATCTTGCCTAGACCCTCTTGCTAATCGTGTCCCTTTTCAGCCAATGAACTATTGCAGCATTAAAAGAAAAGTTCAGGTCGCCCAGCTTTCTGCCAAGAGGTCACTTTCGTTTGCGTAGCGCTTGCATCACAACACCAAAGTGCCGAAATGACAACACGGGAGACCTCAAAAGCAACATGGGAGCAAGCCGAGTTTTCCAAAGCGCGCCCGGTCCTGGGAGCTCTCCTTGACACGCACAACTGTGGCCTCACAGGATCCCGCCCTCCGCCCCCTCCCCCACCCCCCTTGCGGGGGCTCTACCCGGCTGGGAGGCTGGTTTGGCGCTTGCCTTGCGACCCCAAAAGCGCGGGTTTAGATCCAGCGTTCACGCAACATGGTGGCAGACGCAAAAAGCTGCTTTCAATGTCACAGCGACGCGCAAACCGCACCTATTTGCCGCTGCGGCTTCATGCCAACTGTAAGTATGAAATTGCACACTTGACGGCTGGGCCAGGACGAACGGAGGCTGCAGTAGTGTTTCTTTTTCTTGCAGCTGGCAAAACGCTTTGTAAAGAGCCAAATGCATTTTTGATGGCAGGGCCTTGCGAGACGTTTGCAGCTGTTTGAAAGACGCATCCCGCCAAAAACAGATTTGTAAAGATCCAAACGCATTCTGGACGGCTGGGCCACGTCACGGCAAGATCGCACTTGCAAATCACTGGAACCATATTTGGTGCCGACAATCCCCCAAATCTTCAACACTCAGCCCTTGAAATTATGTCAAATCGTCTCCCCCCGACGCTTTGATCTGGCCCAAGCACCGTGGTGCCGGCTTCGGTCTGCGGCAGGCGCTCGCGCAGCTCCGCGTCGCAGGCCTTGAAGGCCTCCTGCCACTCGCTGGCAGTCTCCGCCTCACAGGCACTCGTGGCCATAACAGCTTCGACTGAAAGAGAACATGTGGGTTTGCCTCTTGACAAAGCCTCATGGAAGAAGTTTGAGATCCGACTCTGGAAGAACTGTTGCACGTATTGCGTAGAAGGAATGTCAAAATATTGACACCCTCAACCACCGCAGACCAATTTGCATGCTGTTTTCGACACAAAGACACGTTGGAACGACACTCTCCCCAGAATGAAAACGGAAATGACATCGGAACGGGTTCCAAAGGCTCAAGCTAGCTTCGAGACATACAAACCGTCTAGCCTCTCTAGCCCTTCCTACGCAGGGTTTCCCATGCCCCAACCCAAACTTGGACCAGGACCTAAAAAAGCTTCCCTAGCCACAAACATGTGGAGGATCAATCCGAATCAGTATTCCCCCCCCCTAAAGACTGAAACAAACAATCCAGCCCTGAAATTGCTGCCAAATTAAAGCAAAACTCAACGCTAGCATAGCTAGCTTTCGTGGAAGCCAAAAGGCAACCAGTGCCGTTGGTGGGTGTGAGGACTCCGAGTTCAAGGCGCAGCCATTGCGCCGCCAACCCACACACACACACACACATACACAGACACACGCCAGGCGCCTTGGCCAAATGCAGCGGAAGCCTCTCCGCGCAAAAGGCGGCCGCCTCGTCACCCAAGTGGCCATCAAAGACGGCCACAAGAGAGGCCGTCTGGTCAAGGACGTGGAAATCCTCGAAGCTGGTTCTGTCGCCCTGGCGCACGGTCGATTTGAAATTCTGGAGGCGCGGAACTAAAAGTTTGTGGTTGAGCAGTCGCTTTGCAGCTGCGCGCGGGCGAGTGCCGACAAAATATCCTCAGCACGCTGGCATCGCCTTCCCAACCGAACAAGCATTGAACGGTTCACATTCTGTGCCCCTGATCCTCCACGCTTTTGTAGACTCTAACCTTGGTATGAATCAGCAAGCACAATTCAAATTGAGCAAACCCAAGGAGGCTGTTTGCCAGCGGCCAGGGTGGAACAAGCTTGGAATGAACACAACATCCAAATGTTCTGGCCAAAACAAGTCCAGACTTTTTCCGTCAAAACAGTCTTCAAGTATAAAGCGCAAGAAGCCACCCCCTTGCCTGCACACAGGCCGACGCCGCCCGGCCAAGATTCCCCTGGCTGCGGCGCAGCACCGTGGCCGTCACGGTCTCTCCCAGCACCATCTTTCACGACAAGATGCCGAGTCAAAGGAGAAACTCCAAGGAAAAATGCGGGACATCAGGGCCTTTTGTCGAGCTGTTCTCCTGCACGTCGCATTGCGTATCGGTGCATGTCCTTGACCGCGTGGTGTAGAATCTGTAGCATTTGAATCCTTGACCCTTGAGCCAGCTGCCGGACATCATCCATGCCAAGCAAAAACAACGGAATCGATGGAGCAGGAGGCAGAGCAAAGCAGGCCTCTCACCACCGGAGAAAGATCAGGACCCTGCCAGCTTATCATCCAGAAAGATAGCGCAAACACAAGCATCAATATGTCTTAGCATGCCGGCCGGTGTTGACATCAAACACTGACAGTTGCAGCTTGAAGCATCCGCCGAGTTGCGACCCATCTGGGCCTGCTTTGAGGGTGTGCTCTCTTTGGTTGTTTTGAAGGGGAGCCAAAGGAAAATCGCCCATTGTGAAGAGTGCCCCATGTTGAGCTTCCCGTTCACTGGCGGCACTGAGGGAACCCCTACTCATACGCACCCAAAGAAAGCTCAGGCTTCATGATACATGAACCCCTGGAGGACAATGATGTTTCTCGTACGGTAAATGTACCTTCGCGTCATTGGTGGCTTCCATGGCAACGTGGTTGAACGAATGAGTATTTGCTTTACACGCGACGGGCTTGTCCCCTATCTTTTTGGCTTTCCTTTGATCAACTTAGAAAGGCTGCTTGGGGTACGCGGCTCACACCGGGTTGCTTTGTACGCAAGAAACAGTTTTTTCAGCGGGCGCAAAGACTTTGTGCGCACCGACCGCGGCCTCTCCTTCAAATTGTTCAAATCATGCACACTACTGTTACAAACTCAGCTGCTGGAGGGCTACCAGCACTGGGCTTTGCGCGTGCCGCAGCAGCCGAACCAAGCCTTAGTTCGCAAGCTCAAATGTTTCTTGTGCGGAGAAAGCACGGGGAGAAGTGCGGGGCCTCACTTAAACAAACATCTGCCTCACGAACGAGGAATCGACTGCCATGCATTGATCAGTGCGAAACATGGTTCAATAAGAATCCTCGGGCCATTAGGCAGACTGTGATAAGGAAGTCAGAGAGCGACACCCAGAACGCCTGTGCTTCTTAGGCTGTGTAGGATACGTACCTTGGGCCGTGACACCTGCGCTTGCTGCTTTTTCTGGCAGAGATCAAGCGCATAAACACATGCGGCTAAATGTGACAAACGTGGGCACGCTATCTCGTTGCTTTCCCTTGTTGCCAAGTCACAGGAAACCCGGCCGACAGCGTCTGCAGGATGCTCCGCAAATCGAAGCCTTCCTGTGTGTCGTCGATGGTCGGCCTCGCATCCACGGTGATTCAAAAGCAGAGCTTCAAAGGAACTGCAGGCCATGTTCAAACCGGGCGTGCCCGCGTGAAGTTAGGGATACACTAACAAAATCACAGTTCTAAGTGGGTAACAAGACTGCCAGGTCGGTTTTAGACTTGTTGGCCGGGGACAGCATGCACTGCTGCTCATGAAAATATCGTCATTGCAAGTCAAAGGGGGGAGGGGGAGATCCTTACCTTGGTCCACTACACAGGGAAACAGCAAGATGGCAAAATGAGTTGAGGCTGGGATCATTCTTGGGTCTGCACCAACTGCAAACCGGGCACTCGGAAGCAGTCTCCGACGTTGGAGGGGTCGAAGACGTTGGAGGGGTCGAAGCAGAACTCTCTGGTTTCCTAAAGCAACTGCAGAATCTGCCAGATCCAAGATTGACAACAGCATTCCTGACTCTTCGCTCGGTGACACACGCTCAACAAGAAACAGTCATGGGGGGCAGAAGGGCGCGTAAAAACGAAACAGAATTGGACCAGCTCCAAACTGGTCGCGCGACAAAACCCCGACTACGTCCCGCACATGAAATTACCACTCTCCCTGCCCTTTGTCTGAACGGGCAAAGCAAGAAGGGCGATAAAAACAGCACCCCTGACTCGGATCACCATAAGCTATCCAAACCACTACTCAAGCGACCCAGTTGAAAGGACGGTGAGTTCCTAAAACGAAAAAGTCTCTCCATCCCATTTTTGCTGGACACCAAGAAACCCTCCGCCTAACAAACTCAGAATGAGAGATTGGGGCCACAGACTTGGATGGACTGTTTACCAGAATCACCTGACTCATACTAAAAACCCCGTATTCAAACTGCCCAGAACCATGAAAAGAACTGAAAAGGCGGTCGCACCTATTTTTTGGCCAAAACAGGACGCTCTGAGAGTGCGCTTGTTTGTGCATGTTGCGCGATGATGTTGTCACAAACAAACTCGAGAAAACCAAACAAGGACTAAACATACAAAATTCAAGGCTATGTCAGCTGTGCTGACTTGGGGGGGGCCAAGTCTAGTTGTTTTGGTGTTCTCGAGTTTTACATCGGAAAATCTCGAGAAACCCAAAAGCCTGGACTATGTCAGCTGTCCTGCTTTGGGCGGGGGAATAATATTGTTGTGTGTTTTGTTGTTTGGTTGTCTCGAGGCGTTTGTTGCATTTGTTGGAAGAGTATGAAAAACCTCAAGCAAACCAAAGAATCCAAAAAACAAGACTATGTCTGTTTGATTTGCATTTGTTGCATGGTCCCGTGTCCGGCCGGCCTGTTTGCAAGAGCATTTGTGTCCAAGTGATTTGCGTAGTTCACATCCAAACCCCAGTACAGCAAGCCAAAGATGGTTTCCTCTGATTGGATTCTTTCCTTAGTACACTCTTCTTAATTTCAGTTAGAAAATAAGTAGAACTTGATATATATATATATATATATAGGTTAGGCAGAATTTATTGCGGGAAGAACTGAGATCCCAAATTTGTGTAATAAACTGCGCTTGATTGCTTACTGACGTTTAAAGAGAAACTTCTACATTGAAATAGAATAATCATATTTGCAATTTAATTCAAAACATGTATGATTGTAGCATTTCCCTCTTCAATTCTGTTGATTGTTAGCTAGAGAAAATATAGAACCTGATAACTATATTAAGTAGAATTATTGAAAGCGGTTTGGACGCGTTCTTTCTGGACTTTACCTGTTCTTACCCCTGTTAATATCCTACAGGGGTGAATCCACAAAAGTTGCATCCAAAGCGCTTTCTAGACGAATTCAGAGGTCCCAAAATTGTTGAGTAAGTTGTGAATGAATGTGTACTGTTTTGAAAAGGCAAGGAAATCCTGTGCAACTGGATTAATCAGTGTTTAATTCAAAGGAAAAGATATCTAGTCACTTCTGTTTCAATTGCGTAGAATATAATAAACATATTAAGTAGAAGTCATAAACAAAGAATTCAGGGGTCCTAAGATCGTGCCTTTTTTTTACTGGCCCAAGCACTGCCATGATCAGACAACACCGTGAAACACCGTGATGTGTAGCGCTTTGAGTACTCAATGCGCATCTTTACCGATGGCCGTTTGAATAGGATTTGAGTGGGACTCAAATAAAGAAAATACTTGATCAGAATCCTACTGGAACATATATCTTTAACCTATAACTTAGGTAAGGAATTGTTTCCCAATAGAACTTTACAATTATAGTGGAGTTGAAACAGAATTTGATAAGGGAATAATCCAATCATAATGTCTATGTTATATTAGAAATTAGGTACTTCATCCTATTGAAAATTAGAATTTACAAAGTATTGTATCTCCAATTGAATGTCTTTGACCGATCAGTGGACATGTAAACACAAATGATTCCAGCGTAGGTCAACTCACAAATCCACTCAAAACGTTGCAAAAAAGAAACACGCCCACAGCGTCCTCGCTCTCTTCATGGCTGGGATTGCCCCTTACTACCCTCCAATTAATCGGACTTTCATTGTGACTCACCTCTCGACAACAACAAAAAACCAGGACAGTGAGATCCTTGGCAACCGGGCAGCAAGCCCAATCCGCCGAGGAATTGAAAACTCGTCAAGCATCACTGCAGGGCGAACAATGCTGGAGCCTGCTTGGCTTTGCCAAGATTTCATCCCTTATGAGCTTGCCAAAACATCGGCACCTCTTGTCTTCGATGCACCAATTGCATACCCGGCACTCCATCACCTCTGTGGATGTTTCCGAAGGACTCGTGTGATCCCTGAGGCGAGAACCGGATTCAACTGCATAAAATCCAATGAGAGACCCTAAGGAAGCCAAGCCCATTGGACGTTGCCTCAACACAGTGAGCCGCCTGTCGTCTTCTACTCGCTTGCTAAGGCGAAAAATGCCCGGGTGTCCTCAACATCGGTGGATGAGGATGAAATTCTTCCTGCCACTTCAGCATTGGTCCAAGTTGAACTGAGATGCACATTGGTTCTTGGGAGCACTCCCATGAGTTGTCCAAACAGGGAACATCCGAAAACAGCCTGTTTTCACGTGTGAGGAAAAAAATCCATTGGGAACTCTGGGGACTTCCCTAGACGGATACACGTCCATTATTCACATGACATCCTCTAGATGATTTGGTAAGCGTAAAAGCTGCTGTCTCAGCACCCAAATTAATGTCATTGTTTTGGCTCATATTCGTCTATGGCTTTTGCCGACCCGAATC